ATTTCTTTTACAATAAAACAAAAAATTAAACTAAACAAATTTCTTTTTGCTGCATTTATACTACTATTTTTACATTTATTCTAAAATATCAAATCCATTTATATTGATTTATAAGCATATGATATCTTCTATGAATTTCTTGGGAAACTCAATTGTAATTCCAATATAAGATATATAGTTTTATATCTGTATATTTTCAACATACTCATCATGGTGAATTTCGTAATGTGTACACTATCTATATAAGGAGCTTCTCAAAGGTGATAAAACTATTTGATCTGATTTTAAGTGATGAATTAAATTGTTTTCATCGTCGAATAATTTCGTCTGAAAAAAAAAATAACCAATGAATTAAATGAAAATTTCATACATCTGTTTGTATATTTTCCTTGATTTATACACTTGAATTAAGTTTCTCTTATAATGACACGCACATAGAAGTATCACATTAGCTGAGGATGCCACGAAAACATGAACATAGAGTATCGACCTATGTTGTATATCTATCAAATATCTAATGTTATTTGTCTCATTATATTGATTCTTCCGCGGACAAAAAAAAACGCCCTTTTCCATTTCATTTTTTCACCACCTAATACACTGTATTAAAAAAACAAAATATACCACAAGATGCAGCATGAAAAAAACTACAATTTACAAAAGACGGCTTGTTTTATAGTTGCAATTTTTGTTTTCAGAATGAACAAAATTCGAAGGCACTAATTTTTGACGTTGCGAAAAAAATAAGTTTTTCGTACACGAGGAATTCGTTTTTTTTTATTTCACCTTTTCGTCACCTGATATGCTTTATTGAAGAAACAAAATACACCACAAGATGCAGTGTGAAAAGCTCTACAATTTTCAAAGAAAAGTTTATTTTATCGTTGCATTTTTTTTTTGTCTTAAAATGAACAAAACTCTGTGTCACTAATTTTTGACGCTGCAGAAAAGATCATTTTTTAGTATACGATGGATTCCTTTTCTTATTTCACCACTTAATAAATCATTGTTTTTAACTTTGTCCAATTGCATATTGTTTTAACGGGGACACATATCGAATCATCTAAATTCGACCATCGATATGACTCATCAACCGAAGCAACACGAGAAGGAATTCATCGTGTACCAAAAAATGATCTTGTTCGAAGCGTCAAAAATTAGTCGCACAGAGTTTTGCCCATTTTGAAAACGAAAATTGCAACTATAAAATAAGCTGTTCTTTGCAAATTGTAGTTTTTTTCACGCTGCATCTTGCGGTATATTTTGTTTTGTTAATACAGTGTATTAGGTGACGAAAAAATGAAATGGAAAAGGGCGGTTTTTTTTTGTCCGCGGGAGATTATGTACATATAAATATATTTATACTATGGTATGCAGGAGAAATAGATCTTTACATTTTCAGAACCTTCTGTACTTCGTACAGCTTTCATATTAGGATTCAATTAAGTTTCCACGAAAATTCTCAAAAAAAAAAACTAATCAATTTCAACAGTTGAAAAGACTGCAGGAATTAAGGAGAAGATGATGTATCTCTTTTCATTTAAAATTTCTTAGTAGCTTTGAATAATGAACAATGAGTTTGTGATAGTTTGATAATTTTCTATTACTTAAAACATCGAAATACCTTTAAATTTTCATAAAATTCAAAGAATGAATTAATAATCATTGAAAATTGTTGAATATAATCAAATTTTTTCTTATTTAATTTAATCAATGTTTCCACAGATTGACAAATATTAGAAACTTCATTTAAACTATTTGAATACAAATTGATTTCGAATTGTTTATATAATTGAAAATTTTGAATAAAATGTTGTATTTGTTGATTTAATGGTTGAATAACTGAATTAACATAACCCTTAATAATACAAATATATTCAAAGAGTTGAATCAAAATTTGATCAAAACTATGTTGACTAATAAAGATTCGCATATTTTTGACTAAATCATTATTGGCTTTTTCAAATGAATATACTAAATACGAAAGAATTTTATTAGATAAATTGATAATTATTAATTAATTACCATAAGATCTAGAAAATATTCTTTCAATTCAATAATACAAATAAGATGAATATCTTACTGATAAGTTTGTTTTTGATCAAATTTATCTTCATATTTATCAACATGTTTATTTTCAATAGATGTTATTGAAGATATAGCTCCTGGAAAAATAGATATTCTAATAAAAGAAAAAAATTTAAAAAAAAAAGTATTATTCAAAATTTTTCATCACTTTTGTTGTGGATTTAATGAATATGATATTGATAATGATGGTGATGATGGTGAAATTGCAGGTGTTTCTTTACTTTTCTTCAATATCATCATTTGATTATCATTATCATCAGCTGCAACAAAAAAACAAAAGACAAGTAGTATGAATATTTAATGAAAATACAATTGAATATACCTTGATGCGTACATAGATATATAATAGTGCTGTTACAATTAAGTCCATTTTTATTAACATATTCGAAAAATGAGTGATATTGATTAATATCTAACGGCTGATGTCGAAAATCATATAATGATGTTTTTAATTTACTTCCTTCTTTAATAGTAGTCAAGAAAATTTCCAAATATTCAAATATTCAATTATTCAAATGTTTTTTGTTTTACCTAATTTAAAAATGTCAATAAGATTACGATGAATACTATTAAAATCCATATCAATTGGATCCCAATTACAAAAACGACTACCACCACCATCTTCAAGTTCAAGTTTTTTTATTGTACCATCTCTAGTTAAAACCAAATGACCACATCGAAATCTTCTATTCATATTTATATTGTTATCTAAATAAACAGATATATATATATTTAAATAATATTGGTTTGTTTCTATATTCATAATGATTTTTCATTCTTATATAAATGCTATTTAATCTAACTATTCAAAAATCACACCTATTGAGTTCTCAATAATAAAATATTTAAAGTATATAGAATGAAATATTGCATAAAGTGCAAGTTATTGGTAATTCAAAGTTTGAATAAGATTCGTTTTTTTATTTTTTTTAGAATAATTTTTTTGCAATAAGAAAATTGGAAAACATTTTAGTTCGACAAGTTATCTAACACACATATCTTTTTTTTTCGGATGAGCTAAATACTAACATACATTTCATATTTTTCATGGATTTTTTTTCTTTCGATACTATACGATTTTGAGTTGCCAAATAAAATCATATATGGCATAAATGAATATGATAGAATTGAACTGTCGATAGCTTGATAATCAACTCAAATATGTATAAGACTAATAATAGGTTTCAAGGCCTTCCGAAAGATCATCATTCAAAAACATCAAGAACCTTGTCTAGACTAAAAAATTCCATACCGCATTACAGAACCTCATTGAATCGAAAATTTAATTCACATTTAATGTACTTTCGAGAGACGAATTAACTTTAATACACCAATCAAATTGACATTGTTCTCACTAATGAAAAACGATGGAATGTGTATCAATTGTGGGCACCATTATAAAAGAATTCAAACAAATAAGAGAAATAGTGTGAAATGAATCGAGACTACACGAGAATTGTAATAGTGAAACGATAGTATACAGTGTTGATAAACTAGCGAGTGTCCATGTTTTACCAAAACTCAATCCTATTGGTCGACCATTATGATTCTCTTGTTGCCTCAATTCATTTAACACTATTTCTCTATTCTCTTAACGCGACACCACAATCTATAAATACACGTGAAATAAAGTTTAAAAATAACTGTATATAAAATAAAATCAGAATGATACTAGTGGTAATGCTTCTCTAAGGACGGGGGGCGTATAAGACTGCATTGTGGCCCCTTTTGATTTTCGCTACAAAAGTTAATTGAATCATATATGAATCGATAGATTAAAGTGTCCTTATCATTTTGATGCTAAATTCGATGTGTTCTCATAAGATTTTGAGTGGCATTAGTCTCTTGCATTGACCACACCCTCTATCATCATTTATCTGAGAATACTCTATGATATTATGATGAATTCGTTCATTTAGGATACTTTTTTTTATTTGTAGTCACGTGAAATAGACACTCTACATTGCCTACG